TTTTTTTTTTTTTTTGATTGAAGTTAATTTTGAAAAAAATTAGTTGGATTAAGTTTGAGTTAGATTCTAAGTTTGTATTAAAATAACATCCCCCTATATGTAATTTCTGAATGCGCGAGCCTATGTGGTTGCTTTTGGTGCTTCGGAATCCCACTTTGTGATGAATCATGCTTCGTAAATAGGTTTGGACAAATAATCTAGGTTCAGACATTTCATAAATATTATATAGCTAACTTAGGTATTTTAGTATCACTAACCCTTTAATTCTTTGTAATTTTACATAGTGAGGCACTAAGTCACTAATATATCCCTGAATTTTGATTTATTTTCTTCAATTAGCTATTGAATCATAAATGTACTTTAAAAGTTGATAATTTTTGTATTTCTTATCAGTTTTACATATATAATATATCTAATTAATCATCTTTTCATGATTTTTGATTTGACATCCATATTGTATATATAAAATAAATAAATTATATTTATCTTTATAATAGTAAAAAATAATAATATTTATTAAAAATATTAGAAAAATAAAATTATTTCTCAGTTGATATATTTATGTTTAATGTAGTTATATGTTGTAAGTTAAAAAAAAATTATCATCAATTGGAAGACCACTTCAATTCTTTGCGAATTTTCCCCCCAAATAACCCTAGCTTTCGGCGCCTCATAAGTTCGATCAGTTCACCTCCTCTGGCGTCGGCGAGGCCAGGCTTGCGGTCGCCTCGACTGCCTGGCTTGTCCCTGAAGCCCTTCACTCTCATCTCCGGCTGTGTTTGGTGGCTTTGGCAGCTTGGCCCAAGGCTGTTGGTGGGCAGGATCCGCGTGCTTTCTCCCTCGAGCAGGGTCCGGTGGCTTGAAGGTTCTTGGAGCAGACAGCTGACTCTAATAGGGGGAGGCGGTCTCTAGTCTTCGACGGTTTGGCTCCTTGGTGCCTCCCCTTGGTCATTTGCAGGGAGCGACTCCGATGGAGTTCTGGTGCGAGGATGTCCGCCGATGTGGTGGCGATGGGATGGTGGTGGTCAGTGGATGGGGAGGGGCTCCGGTGGCCTGTGTTGGTGCTGCAAGAGTAGGGTATATGGTTGCGAGCTGGTCCTTCTCTCCGGCTCTGCTGCGCTTTGGTCGGAGGTCGATGCCCCCGAGTAGCCTAGTGGTGTTAGGTGCGCTTGGGGTGTGCCGGTTTGGGGTGGCTCACCTGCATGTACCCTCAGTTGTTGGCAGATCGACTCGTAGTTTGGTTTGGGGGCGGGTGTTCGGTTTCTGTAGAGGCTTAATTGCAGTTTCGGGAGCTGTTCCTTGGCTAGGGGTCGAGCTGTGATCCGGTTGCCGCTCGTTCGGGATCGTCTTTCTTTGGGGGAGGGTGTGGTAGTTTAGGTGTTTGTGTGTTTAGTTTTTTGTTGCGTTTTTTGCTTGTTGCTGGTTTATGTCTTCGTGATTGGTGTTGGTTAGTATTGTTTCTTTGGTTTGGATCATTTGGCCCCTGTGAGAGGGATTACTCCGTTGTAGTCGTTCCACATTACTTCGTTGGGGGTCGTTCCACATTACCTCGTTGGGGGTCATTCTATAGTTAGGGCTTTCTGTTGTAGTGTTTGAGTTTCTTTTCTAGCGTTTCTAGTCGGGTTCTAGGCGGTCTTATGACCTGTCCTCGAAGTTTTATTCAGCTGTTGGCTGTATTATTCAGCTAGGGGCTGTGTACTTTGCACATTTGTGCG